GATTCAGTGAGGAAACGTGAACATTCCTCTCTACAGGCTTCTATGACGGGGTTTCACCATCGACCGAGCGAGGAACACATTTTCCTCGCTGTAGAGATGTAGCGAGGAAATTGGAACCTGTGGCGAGGAAAGATTCCCTCGCAAAAGCGCTTTTTTGTTGTAGTGCCCTAATCAATAAAAGTGACTTGTTTTCTGTCTTTGTTACCTTCTACAAATATGTTCAAACTCAATTTTCAACATCCATTCAAATTCTTCAAAGTGATGGGGGGGGGGAGAGTATGTTAGCAAACAGTTTCAAGCTTTTCTTGCTGATAAGGGTATCATTCATCATAAGTCATGTCCATACACACCTGAACAAAATGGGCTCGCTGAACGAAAACATCGACATCTTATCGAAACTACCATCACCTTCTTACAACATGCCAAACTACCATCTTCTTTCTGGACTTATGCTGTACAAACTGCATGCATCCTACTTGATTAATAGAATGCCTACATCAATCTTACATGATAAATCCCCCTTTGAAGTTTTGTTTGGCGATATTCCAGCCATTTCTCATCTACGAATATTTGGTTGTGCTTGTTATCCCTTGTTAAAACCTTATCTTACCAACAAGCTTCAACCAAAAACCATTAAGTGTGTCTTTTTGTGGTATGCTTCTCAGTATAAAGGATATATATGTTATGATGTGTCTAGGAAACGTACCTATATATCTAGACATGTTGTTTTTGATGAACATGACTTTCCATATGCAGCCTTAGTGACGCATTCAAAGGTATTCATTCCATCTCCTACTCTGCCAAGTACATCCTCTCCTTTACCTGTTGTCACCAATAACAATATTGTTGCATTGCCTACATCTCATGACACTACTTCATCAGATACATTCATTTCCCCAAGCAATACTCCTGCTTCATCCTCTTCACACCTTTGTCCATTACTGGTGCATCTCCATCTTTATCATCAATCCCTGTGGTACCTGAGTCTAATGCTGAAGCCCTGTCAACTGGCTCTTTCCCACTGGTTGACTCTTTTCAACCTGAATCCATGCAAGTCGTTCTTGAGGTTCCTCCTATGAATCTGCATCCAATGCAAACTCGAAGTAAAAGTGGCATTGTGCGGAAGAAGGTCTTTCTAACAACTTTACAGGAGTCTGGGGGTGTTGATTTATCCTTAGTTGAGCCTGCCACTTACAAGACTGCCTTAAAAGTGCCTGTTTGGTTGACTGCTATGACAGAGGAAGTCGATGCTCTTCATTCTCAGGGGACCTGGAGTTTGGTGCCATTACCTCCTAACAAAAATCTGGTGGGATGTAAGTGGATTTTTAAGATTAAAAAAATATGCAGATGGGTCTATTGCACGACATAAGGCGCGATTGGTTGCTAAAGGGTTCAGTCAAGAACCAGGTCAGGATTATGGGGAAACTTTCAGTCCTGTAGTTAAACCGACTACAGTGCGAGTTGTCTTAGCTCTTGCCGCACACTTTGGTTGGCGTTTACGTCAACTAGATGTCAAGAATGCTTTTTTGCATGGAATTCTCCAAGAAGAGGTGTACATGGCTCAACCTCCTGGTTTTGCAGATTCTCATCATCCAACTTTGGTTTGCAAACTTCATAAATCTTTATATGGGTTAAAACAGGCTCCCCGAGCCTGGAATGACAGGTTCACGTCCTTTTTACCTACATTGGGGTTTCAACATACATACTCTGACTTATCTCTATTTGTGAAACAAGTGGATTCTGGCATTGTCATCTTATTGGTCTATGTTGATGATATCATAATTACTGGCAGTGCTCTCAGTGAAATTCACAAGGTTATTCACTCTCTCACAGTTGAGTTTGAGATCAAAGACTTAGGAGATTTGCATTATTTTCTGGAAATTCAAATTTCCCACACCAACACTGGATTGTTTTTGTCATAGTCTAAGTATGTCCAAGATCTACTTGTCAAAACTGAAATGACTGAAGCCAAAGCGTGTGATACTCCTTGCCTTCCTTATCACAGATTGCTCAAGGATGATGGTCAGCCTTATGGGAACCCCACCTTGTATCGAAGTATTGTAGGAGCTTTGCAGTATTTGACTTTCACCCGACCTGATATTGCATTTTCTGTGCATCAGGTTTGTCAATTTCTGCAAAATCCAATGGTGACACATTTCACAGCAGTTAAGAGGATTCTTCGGTACTTGAAGGGTACAATGCACTTCGGCATTAGCTATAGTCAAGGAACCTTGAACTTAACAGCATTTAGTGATGCTGACTGGGCAGGAGATCCAAATGATCGGCGGTCCACTACCGGTTTGATTGTGTTTCTTGGTTCCAATCCTGTGTCTTGGTCCTCTAAGAAACAACAAACTGTTTCCCGATCTTCCACTGAAG